GGGGCCCGGGGGAGTGGGGCGGCCCCCCCCCCCCCCACTGGCAGTCTTCAAGCAGCAGCTGGACAAACCCTTGTCAGGGATGCTCTCGGCTGATCCAGCATTGAACAGGGAGTTGGACTAGATGGCCTGTATGGACCCTTCCAACTCTGGTGATTCTATGATTCTAAGTCCCCCCACCCCAAACAACCAGCCTAGCAGTCCTCAGCTCAGAGAGAGAGAGAGAGAGAGAGAGAGAGTTGGGATCCCAGTTGTGTCATGCAGGCCCAGCACCTGGTGCAAATTCTCAAGACCAGACCAGTCCAGGACAGGGCGTAGTGTCCCAGCAGGCCACAGCAACACCACATTCTGTCTAGTGCTCTACAAAGGGCGGGGCCCTGTTCTCTGGGCTCTGGGCGCAAGATCGTGGGTAGCGGCAGCCCCAACTGAGCAGCATAAGTAGAGGCCTTGAGGAGAACAGACCACATCTGGACCTGTGAAGCAGTAGCATTTTTTCCCCCCTTTGGAGGTTTGAACTGACCAAAACCTTCACTCTGAGTTTTAAAGGCAGAGAACCAGTGGGTAAGTTTAGTTGCTTTCTGAGCTCACCTCAATCCACCTCTTAAGGAATGCTAATAGGTCTAGCTAGAAACAATGGGATTGTCAATGCCCCCCCCCCCTTAATATGGAACGGAGATTTGGAGGTATTAAATACCAGAAGGAGTTCAGGAAGGAACTTCTGGAGACTTCAGGAAAAAAGCTTCTTTGACCTAACTTGACCTGGTCGGTGGGTGGGGAAAAGAGATAATAAAAGTCCTGGGAGTCAAGAGGATGTTCTCTTTGGTGCTGATTTCATCGAGGCAGACAGAACTCTTCACTGAGGTCTGGAGAAGGCAGCCATTGCCACGTGCTGGCCTGCACACCTGAAGGAGGCTTGAAGGTGTAAAGGAACTCCTGTAAAAATCTGCAACTTTCTAAACTAGGGAGCCTGCCTTATATTTAACATCTGATAGGGCATGTATAGAGGAGGGAGAGAGGAATTGCATTTTACCCTTTTTTAAATCCCTTGCTCAATCTGGTGCTGTGCTAAGAATATGCTTGCAAACATTTCCTTTGAAATAAATACTTTGTAACTTTTGATCTCTGGGCCACATAGACCTCCATTGTCTTGGACATGCTGTTTTAAGAGGAGAGCCGGGAAGAAAGGGAGGGCAGTCAGTTGGCAAGTGGCTACACCTCTAGTGGTGCACAAGGCTGCAAGCTGTCCCAGTGGTGACCACATGCTGGGCAGCGGAAGGCCAGGCCTCAGAATTTGGAAGGGAAGCTGGGAGTCCCCCGACCCTTCCAGTGGGCAATTCCTACAAAGGTCAGGTGGTGGCAGTGGTTGAGCAAAGCCCTCCCAGAAGGGGGGGGACCCTGGAGGGGGCAGGGTGGGAGAGGGCCTGCAGGCCAGAGCAGGACGGTTCTGCCACAGGACCTTTGACAGCGTTGGTGCCGCATGCAGAGACTTCTCAGGGCATCTTTTATTTTTTAAGCCTAACCCTTGAGGAGAATAGACGGAAGGTGGGGCAGTCAATAGTTGTGGGGCAAAACTCACTTCCACATTTTTGATGTAGGATAATGAGATGCCAGAAGTGAAGAGAAACTTCAGCCCCACGACGCAGCAAGTGGACAGAAGGACTCCAAGGATACCTCCTCGCGTTGCTAGCAGGTTTTGTATAGTAACATATAACCTTTGCTCAGTGCGCTGGGGAGGCGTTCCATTGGCATGCAAGTGTTGCACAGGTGGCATCCCGGTTTAAATGGGTCCCTGAGCACCCGTGAAATTGCACGGGTGGTCATCTGCCCCACCAGGATCACATTTAAATCGAGACTAAGGTGGTTAATGCAATATTTGTTGATAATATCATTATTAGTCATTATTAAAATGTTGACGAATAGTAAAGGTGCTCTTGAACTAGGAAGCAGTGCTCACCGTTTTGTAACATTATCTTTTGAAAACAAACCTGGTTTTAAATGAAAACGGAACTTAATGCAAACAAAACTGGATTTTTGCTTGGCTTGTGGAAGAATGGTGAGAAATGTAATGAAAGAATGGTGAGGAAAAAAATCTCTGTTATCGTACTGGAAATAGTTCATGGACATATACTAGAGTTTACCATAGAGTTTTCCCTCTGACAATCGGGGCCACGCCCCCAACGTGATCGACGTGGTTGCGTCACCTCTGGTGACGCAGCCATGCTGCACTTCGGGGGGGGGGGGCAGAGTTCCCCCCGGGGCCCGATTTCGCGGCGGCGGAAATCGGGCCTCCAAAGCGGGGGTTTACCCCCCCACCCCCGCCTCCACTTGGTAGCCCTGGCTCTGGTCAATGCATCTCAATGCGTGGACGGCGCAGGCAGGGCGGAGCCGCGAGGACTGAGCCAAGGCCGTGCCGAAGCATGCAGCATGACAGAAGGGCCCGACCGATCCGCCACTGAAAGACCACCAGAAAGGAAAAAAGGAGCCAGAAGCCGAGTGACGCCGAAGTCGACGTAGCCGACCCGGGAGAAAAAAGATCGACTAACCCCTCCACTGGGTGCCGGTAGGGATTGTCCCTACCCCTAATAATTGTGGCCATAGGTTAGGGATAAATGAGTAACTGTAGCCGCTCAGAGACCCCTTAGGGGGTTCGAGCGGGGTAGTAAGTAGAAAGAAAGAAAGAAAGAAAGAAAGAAAGAAAGAAAGAAAGAAAGAAAGAAAGAAAGAAAGAAAGAAAGAAAGAAAGAAAGAAAGAAAGAAAGAAAGACGAAAAAGGGAACTGCAGAGCTGGAAAATGTGCAGAAGAGGGCAACTGAAATGATTAAAAGGCCGGAACGTCCCTTTGTGAGGAAAGTCTGAAGAGCTTGGGACTTCTCAGTTTAGACAATCAAGGGAGGGGATACAATAGAACTTTATAAACATTTGCATGGGGTAGACAGAGTAAACTTTTTCTCCCTCTCCCAAAATGCTAGAACTTGGGGACATCCAAGGAAGTTGATGGGCAGTAGGTTCAGAATGGAGAAAAGGAAATACTTCTCGACTCAACAAGTGATTAAAATGTGGAATGAATGGCTAGATGATATAGTGATGGCCACAGGCAGAGAAGGCTTTAAAAGGGGATTGGACAGGTCCATGGAGGAGAGGTCTGTCAGCAGCTACTAGCCATGGTGACTAAAGAGAACCTCCATATTCAGGGGCAGTGGTCCTCTGGATCCCAGTGCCCGGAGGCACCATCAGGGAAAGGCCTCAGCCTCGGTCACTAGATTTGTTTGTCCTCCAGGCAGCTGGCTGGCCATTGTGTGAGACAGGATGATGGACCCTCACTGGTCTGATCCAGGGGGCTCTTCTTGCTTACTATTTTGTTGGGAAGGGCATGTGTGATGTCTAAACCGAAGCCTGTATTGCATATTGTTTTATAAAACTGTTAATTTAATTTAATCGTGTAGCCTCTGAGGTTGTATAAATCTATAGTTAGGTCTAGATTAATATATGATTGCAGCAACAAAGTTATGTGCACCTACAACTGGGGAATAGCTAAATAATAAATGGAATTTTTACTTTAAATCATTCTAAGTCATTTACATTGGTATTGTAAATCAACTCTGACATTTTTAATACTTTATGTTTCAGGTTTGAGTTGATGCAAGGCTGAGCTACCAAAAAGTCTCATTTTTCATCTTCTCCATTAAGCAGAAGTTGGGTAGGGTACTAGTCCAAAGCTGTTCTTACATTCTACTTTTTCCACATTTTGTTGCAGGCCTTTGAGTAGTGACAGCTTCCTCCCGCCACCAGTGCCCCCCAGAGGTCGGTGAAATGCTGCATTGAGTCCTTGGAACAGGGAAACCTGGGAATGCCCGGCTTCGTTTTTAAAGACTGCCTTTTTAATGGGAATGTGCTCGGCAGGTTCCTCCTCTTTCTCCCCATCCCACCTTCAACAGAACCACCCTGGCACAGTGGTTTACTTCAGAAACAAAGCAGAAAAGAAGAAGCTGGAAGTCCTCGCCAGCCATCGGGGCTTTTCAGAAGTGGTCAGAAAAGGCAGTCTCCGTGGGACATCTGATTCACCCAGCCTGGCGAGAGGAAGCTCACAGGGTCTCTTGATTGTCTTTTCAAAATCTCTGTGTATTAAAACAGTTCTTCAAGCAGAACCTTTTTCCTGTTTCTGCACTCTTTCTTTATGCTGTCTGAAATCAGAAACGTCCACTGAAGGCAGGCAGATCAGGGCTTTTATGGTGAGGATTCCGCAGGGTCATGATGTTGCAGACACTTGAGGAATTCCTTTGAAATCTTCCCCGGTGCTTATGGATTTCGTAATGGCTCTGTGCCTCTGACCTCCAGCCCAATGCATGGAGCTTGCTTGCCGGAGAAAACGGCAGTACGGAAAGCTGAGCAGCAACTCCTGCTCGAAGTACGAGAAGGAATCTCCACCCAGCGGCACACTTCCCTTGTACTCCTGTGACTGCGGACATAAAAGAAGCAGATGTACAGCGATTTATGGACATCAATAAAATGTGCGCACAAGTGTTCAGTTTAACCTGTTTTCCTTTTTTGCAAAAAGGGGGGTGGGAAGGGCAGTAGAGCCAACAGTTATTAAGGCCTACATTCTCAAAATGTGGGAAACCCCTACGGAGGCATGGGGGTCTTTGAGATATAAGGCGTCATCAAGGACATTTCAGCCAGCAGCTTTCCTTTCTCTGCCCCACCGTCAGGTGGTACCTTCTTCAGGGTCTGCTCTAACAGCAAACTCTTGAGTTTAGGTGAAAGCAAAGGTACACCCTTCAACAAATTTCCTGGAGAAAAATACACAGGGACAAATCAGCAAGCCATGGCTAGTTGGAGAAGTAGGTGGCGGAGGACGCTCGCTCCGTTCATTTGGGATGGGGCAAGGAGGGCAAGGCCACCATGCCCCGTTATTCTACACCGTTTTGTTCCCGTTTTGATCTAGCAAACAGAGAGATCCCATCCTAGAATCAGATTAATGTCTCCCTTACATACTAGAACTCTCCTGCGCACACCCATGGCTGTATGTGAAAGCTGCCATGTGGCCACCCAAACAGATAGCTGATGGTGGGTTAGGATGAATGTGTTTTAGAGGAAGACCTGAATTGAAAAAGCTTGAGAAACTCCTACGGAAGGGGCTAGGCAGGCATGACAGGAGGCAAAGGGAGGACCTCAACAGGGTGCAGGGTGCTTTTTCCAGAATCTATTAGCATGTTGTCAAGTGGCATTTCCCCTCAGAAATTCCTGTTATGTTTCAGATACAATTCAGTGCAAATGTCTGGGGTGTATGTAGGGTTGCCAACTCTAGCTTGGGGAAATTCCTGGAGAACTGGGTAAGGTAAAGGTAAAGGTTCCCTTGCTCGAAAGCCAGTCGAGTCCGACTCTAGGGTTGCGGTGCTCATCTCCGTTTCAAAGCCGAAGAGCCAGCACTGTCCGAAGACGTTTCCGTGGTCATGTGGCCGGCATGACTAAACACCAAGGCGCACGGAACGCTGTTACCTTCCCACCGAAGTGGTACCTCTTTATCTACTTGCAATTTCTTGCTTTCGAACTGCTAGGTTGGCAGGAGCTGGAACTAGAGACGGGAGCTCACTCCATCATGCGGCACACTCGGGTCTCGAACTGCTGAACTACCGACCTTCCACAGCCTGCAGTTCAGCATCTTAACCACTTGAGCCACCGCAGCTCCTTTTGGAGATCTGGGAGTGAAGGCAAAAAACCTCCAGGATCCCTCAGTCAATCTGGCCTGGTGGAAAATTCCTTCCTGACCCCAAAGTGATGGCTGGTTTTACCCTGGCCATGTCAGAAAGGGCCACAAGAGGTGAGCACTGGTTCATCCCTCTCATGATCTGCCTCAGTTCACAGAATCAGCACTGCTGCCAGAGGGCCATCTGGCCTCCGTTTTTTAAACCTTCCAAAGGAGAGTCCGCCACCTCCAGAGGAAGCCTGCTCCAATGAGGAACTACCCTGCCAGGAAGTTCTTTCTGATGTTTCGCCGAAAACTCTTCTGATTCCATTTCAACCTGTTGGTTCTGGTGTCCGACCTTCTGGGGCAACAGAAAACAACTCCACTCCATCCTCTACATGACAGCCCTTCAAATACTTGGAAGATGGTTATCGTATCACCTCTCCGTCGTCCCCTCTCCAGGTGAACCATACCCAGCTCCTTCAACCTTTCCTCATAGGACCTAGCCTGCACATACCTCACCAACTTCGTTGCCCTCCTCCTCTCGATGGCAACATCCTTCTTAAACTGTGGTGCCCAAAACTGAACACAATATTCCCAAGTGAGGTCTAACAAGAGCAGAGCAAAGTGATACTTGTGTTGATGTGGCCCAAAATCACATTTGCCTTTTTAGCTACTGCATCACGCTGCTGCTTGTGTTCACTGTGTAAGGAGATGGCATTGACCTGGGTGTGTAAGATGGATGCTGTCTGTAGTTGGTGTTTAAAATGGTTCCCCATAAGGGTAAGTGGCCTGTAGTTCTGGACAGGGGCCTGCAGGGCTAACCCTCACCTGGTTGATTGGGACTTCCTCATTTGCCTGCCTACATTTCCCAGAAGTGCTAGGGCAGGGATGGCGAACCTTTTAGAGACCGCGTGCCCAAACTGCGACCCAAAACCCACTTATTTATCGCAGAGTGCCAACACGGCAATTTAACCTGAATACTGAGGTTTTACTTCAGAAAAAACAACCCATACATTAACTTAAGAGGATCCAAACAAAGTAAGGAAAGCAATCCCAAAGGCTTTCATTTACTTAAAATTATTTGGCAGAGAATTTGACACTTTAATGGCGGTCTGGGCCTGGCTGGGGTGATGGCACGCGTGCCCACAGAGAGGGCTCTGAGTGCCACCTCTGGCACCCGTGCCGTAGGTTCGCCACCACTGTGCTAGGGGAAAGGAGCAGGAAAATTTGGACACACCCCAGGGGTGGAGCCAGGCAGATAAAGGCTTTGGCTCCTGAGGGTCTTCAGCCTGGTCTTCAGCCTTGGGCTCAGCGTGGTGGACGGCAGCTTCAAGGGAGCAGACAGGTTGGATCTCCTGTTGCCTCAAACTCCAGGGCATCCAGGCCGCTATAGACCGTGGTGGACAGCCGGGGGGGGCAACAGTACCAGTGACCAGTCCGGTGGAGGGCTGGGGGTTTCTCCACAGCAACAGGAGGGGGGAAGCAAAACCCATCCTGAGGCTCACAACCTCCAGGGATAGTGAGGGTGTGTGTAGGGGACAGAGGAATGGCGTTTTAAATCGTCTTTATTTTCTGCCCAGGTTGTGTTAATGTGGTTGTGTTTATTTTCTGCGCTTAACTTGTACATAGTTAAAATACACCTTTTTTTTGAGTTAAATAAGACCCGGTGTGCCTTGACTACCTAGTCCTCCTCACTCAGTACGTTACCAGAAGCAAAAAGGAAGCCAGGGAACCCAAACGGGCCCAAATCAGAGGAGTTGCCAACTCTCCAGGGGGCACCCAAAGATTGTGTGAGGAAATCAGCCAAAGGGGTCTCACTGTCCCTCTAGGAAGGCGGTGTCAATCCAGTGAGTGGTGGCAGCGTGTAACGAAGGGAAATAGCCCCACCAGGAAAGGGTGGGAAGGCAAAAACAGGGGCTTGTGAGCCACAGAACGGCTGCTCAGTCTCCCAGGACAGAGGGCAGGTCCGCGTTTCACCACACACTGTATGATCTTCTAAGACCCTAGATCAGGGGTGTCAAACATATAGCCCGCGGGCTGGACTCAGCCCCTGCAGGGGTCAGATCCGGCTCACAAGCAACTGGCTCTCTGTTGCTTCCTTCTCTGGGGCTACCACCGCCACCGCATTGCAGCTCGCTTTTGCCCAGCTCCCGCTTCCTGCTTTGTGTGGGACAGAACAAAGCCAAGCCTCTCCTCCTTTCGGAGGACGGGAGGGGGAGAGAAAGTGAAAGTGAGTGCAGGTGCAGGAGAAAAAGCAAAGCCTGACTCCCATGGCTCTTTTAAGACCAGCAAAGTTTTATTTTGGTTATAAGCTTTCATTCTTCTTCAGAGGGAGGGATGGACTCTTCTGCCAAGCACAATTTACATTGAGATCACCCTGTTCTACTGTTTTGAGACTTGGTTTCTCTCTCTCTCTCTCTCTCTCTCACACACACACTTGTATGTGTGTCAAAAGGAAGGGGCACATTGGGTGTTAAATAGTGGGTTCCATGGATGAGCAGGGATAAGGAGAATTAAAAAGAAATTATTTTGGCTTATTCTAAAAAAGTTTTTTAATTAGATTTTTAATTAGATTAATTAAAACCTAGCTGGGATTTTATTTTCTTTCAAAAAGACCCTGAGTAGGAATAAGAACACTTGGATTGGATTCCATTGTTTAATTAATGGAAGTAGACGACTAAGTATTTAAAAATACATTTATGGTTCCACACCTTCCAGTTCAACATGTAATTTGTGGCAGAGAATGAACTTTTGTGAGCTTTCACTTCTTCACTTGGTTGTTTATGCCATTTTAATGTTGTTAGCCACCCTGAGCCAGATACCTGGAAAGGCGGGAAATAAATAAATAAATAGTGAATCCATCTGTCCTTGTATCTTGGAGATTGGAATGATTGCAGACGCTGAATGACAATAGCAGGCACACAACAATAGCAGGTGAATGACAGCAGGTGTTTAGGTGTGGTTTAGTTTGGATTAGGTGTGATATGCAGAGGGGTGGAAATTAGCATTGAAATTCAGACAGGAAACCTAGGTCTCAATTCAGTCCTGGAGGATACATTGTCTTGAGCTTCGTTGCAATTCAGCAGTCTCTCATTCTAATCTCACTTTGAAATTCTTTTGTATGAGAACTGCTACTCTTAGGTCAGCAACTGAATGTCCTGGAAGGTTGTGTTTTTGAATGTTGTAGCTCCTAATGTCAAACTTATGTCCATTTATTCTTTGCATCCTCCTGGACGAAACGGAGACCTAGGTTTCCTGTCTTATCACCAATGCTGGTATCTCCACACCTACTACCCCTGAGGGGTGTGTGAGGAGTGAATTGGCATGGTAGAATGGCTTATTTCATTTAATCATTAATCATTCTCATTTAGCCACTGAACATTCATTCTCATTTAACCGCAAGATGTTCACTAATTGTTTTATGACAAGCTTAGCTAAGGCACAGTATGCATCCACTGTACACATGCTATGGAGACATGGGACTTTCCAGAATGGTTTTTTCCAGTTATGGACCGAGATGCCGGGAGGGTCATGTTAGGCGCATTTGCTCAATAGAAGTTTACACAAGGCACATACTAGGATCACAGTGACCTGACCAATGATGACGAGATAGTTGGAAATTTAGGGACTTTGTCCAGGATCACTTAGAACAAATATGGATGCCGGGAAAACTATATTTGTAAGTAAATAGAATGTTCGGATAACCAGATCGACCTGACATAGGGGGAAGTCTTGGGAATATCTGTGGAAGAACTCGATTAAGATTTCGACCTGTACTAATGTAAAAGAGAACTGTTATAAAATGATGTACAGGTGGTATATGACACCAAAGAAAATAGCCAACATGAGTCAAAATCTTTCCAACAAGTGTTGGAAATGTAGAAAACATGAAGGTTCATTTTACCATATGTGGTGGACATGTGAAAAAGCTGTGGACTTCTGGACCAGGGTCCACAGCGAAATGCAAAAGATTCTGAAATGTTCCTTTAAGAAAGCGCCAGAAATTCTGCTCTTAGGACTTAAAATGGAAGAACTGAATATTACAAAAAGGACTCTATTTTGGTATCTGATTACAACGGCGAGACTACTCTATGCACAATGTTGGAAACAAGAAAGAATTCCAGAGTTAGAAGAATGGATACAAAAAACTTTGTTTATGGCGGAGATGGACAAAATTACAAAAAAATTGAATAACAAAGAAGATCAGGAATTCTATGAAGAGTGGAGAGACTTTAAAGTTTACCTAGAAAAGAACTGGGATGTGAAACATAACTTTCCCTAAAACGGTAGCCTTGCTCCGAGTCTGAGCCTTCTTCAGCAGGTGATTCATCGTCACTCCCTTTGTCCACATCATCTTCTCCCGTTGGTCCCGATTGCTGCCTCAAAAACTCTCGTGCTTTCATAACAGAGTCAATTTTTTCTTTCTTGTCTTTATATTTGAAGAGTAATCCGGTAGAATCCATTTGTAAGAGATGTTATTCTTTTGCAAAAACAAAGCCAAGTCTCTGTATTTATTCCTCTTCTTTCTTATTTCAAAGGAAATGTCTTTTAAAACTCTTATCTCATTACCGTCGATTTTAAGGGTAGTTCCACTTGTATATTTTAGGATCTGGTCCATCACTTGTCTTCTGGAGAACCTCACCACCACCTCCCTGGACATATTATTTTTCTTTATAAATTCTGAATATGACCTATAGATCACATCCATCTCGCTTAAAAGGAAATCCGCTTTTAAATCTGCAACCGGTCCCAAAGCATCAGTCTTAGTCTGCTTGAGGTTCTCCCCTTTATTCTCAGGAACCCCCTGAAACCTCAGGATAAAGCTTGCCTTTTCCATTTGAAGTTGAAGTAATCGTGCCTCATCAGAGTTACTCTTCTTTTCCATCTCTTGGATTTGTTTTTTAAGCTTTTTTGTAGTGGCATCCACTTCTTTCAAGTTCTGCTTTTTGCTCTGTTTCCCCCCCCCCCCCCGTTTCATTTAGTTGTTGTTGTTGTGCGGCAAAATTTTCGTTGAGCATTTTCATTTGCTCCAGCAGGGGTTGCAAAGCCTCTGTTAGCATTTTTGAAAAGTCGATGGTTGTGTCCGGTCGCGTGACCACACTCCCTGGGCTAGCACTTCCTGAAGGAGGCTTAGGTTTTGGAAACTTGTCTTTCTCCATCTTTTTGTGCGACATCTTTGAGGATGTTTACATTTACTCTGTTTTGCGAAAAGTCTCTAAAGTCTGCAAACCGCTTAAGAGCATAAGAGACGCCAATGTTGGATCAGGCCAAAGGCCCATCCAGTCCAACACTCTGTGGCCAGAAATACCAGTGCCATCAGGAGGTCCAGCAGTGGGGCCAGGACATTAGAAGCCCTCCCACTGTTGACCCCCCCCAAGCACCAAGAAGACAGAGCATCACTTGCCCCAGAGCCCCTAGCTATACCTTGTGGCTAATAGCCACTGATGGACCTCTGCTCCATATGCTGCTCCATATGCTTGGAAATCTCTTGTAAATTTGGTGTAGTGGTTAAGTTTGCAGATTCTAATCTGGGAGAGCCGGGTTCGATTCCCCACTCCTCCACTTGCACCTGGCTGGATGACCTTGGGCGAGCCGTAGTTCTGATAAGAGCTGTTCTTGAAAAAGAGCAGTTTCTGTCAAGAACTCTCTCAGCCCCACCTACTTCACAGGGTGTCTGTTTTGGGGAGGGGAAGGGAAAGGAGATTGTAAGCCGCTCTGAGACACCTTTGGGTAGTGAAGGGCGAGGTATAAATCCAATCTCTTCTTCTTCTTCTTCTTCCTTTAGTCCCGTATTGCTTTTTGTTCCGTCCCCCTCAAACAATCATGTTTTAAGTTCGTTTTAATGTCCCGGGGCGGGTACGGTACCCGCCCTCCCCCTCGCATAGTTTAAGTGGGACTTTCAGCCGGTTCTCTGGTGCTGGTTTCAACCAGACTCACTTTTAATTTCAATCATGTTGATCTTGCCTTCAAACATTTAAAGCACTCGATCTCCCCATGGGCGCCTCTTAGTCCCAGTGAGGGAACGCAGCGGCGGGACCTTTGGGGCATTCAGGATGCCTCAATCCCCCGGCAACACGCCAGTGGAGAGGCGACCCTCGGCACCCCACGGCTTGGAGCCCTTGGACAGGCCCCTGGGGGTTGCGTACGATCGCACCCCCTCTCAATCCACTGGTTCACGGATCCTGTCCTCGGGAGCACCCGAGAGACACGTCCGCCATTGAGTCACCAAAACTGGAAGTCAACAAAGTGTCATTTATGTCAGATCAGCCATTGTAACAAATGAGTTTGACACCTCTGCCCTAGATCCTTTTCACAAGTACTACTGCCAAGACAAGTATCTTCTTCTTGTTGTTGTTCAGTCGCACAGTCGAGTCCGACTCTTCGCGACCCCATGGACCAGCTCCCGCCAGGCCCTCCTGTCTTCCGCTGTCCTCTGAAGTTGGCTCAATTTCATGTTCGTTGCGTCGCAGACAAGTATCTCCCATCCTGTAATTATGCGGTTAGTTTTTCCTACCTAAATGCAGGAATCTGCTTGCTGTACAGGAGCTTCTAGAGAGACAGCATAACATGGGGTTAACTCTGGTCCCTTCTCCAAGCACTATTTCAAACATTTTTTTCTAGGTTAATGCATTTCCCTTCTAGATGGAATAGTTTAGTATTATACAGGGCTTTTTTTTTGTAGGGGAGAGGTGCTGGAACTCACAAGAGGGAAATGAAGTTTTCACAAACTTTTAAACGTTTTAAAAAGAATTTTGTTGAAGAGGTTCTGGAACTCTGTTCCAGTGCGTTCCCCCAGAAAAGAAGCCCTGGATACACCTCTAATGAGATACCAATTTAAAAATCCATTGGCCTGAGAGAGCAACTTGATCCCATCTTGTGCTGTGAGCATTCCAGAGAGCATCTCCAGAACATGCCTGTGCACTCATAAATGTGCCTTGGACTTCAAACTGGCAGCCCCATGCCTGTTCTGGCGACCACAGGCAACCCCAGCTAGTCTGTAGGGCTGCCACGGCAAATGATTTCTTCCCAAGGAATGTCACTGGATCATCTGTCCCCTTTCCCAGCACCGTCTCACCTGAGCTTTTGCTACTCAGAGACATACAGGCATCCATAATTTGAGTCCAGTGGCACTTTTAAGACCGACAAAGTTTCAGATAAGGTATGAGCTTCTGTGTGCAGGCTCACTTCCTCGGATACACTGGACTCCGACCTTGTTTTACTGCTTCAGACCGACAGGGCTGCCCACCTGGATGCAGCTTAGGAAAACAGTTCAGCCTACCCAGACTCCTCATTTCATACTGATGCCACCAATGGGTTGGGATTGCCTCTAGAACTGACCGGCTGGTGTCAGTTTTAAACTCACCGCTTGGTTCCAGGCCAGGCCAGGCCAGCTCCCTGAAGGGAAAGAAGATCTGGGGACTGCTGTGCAACTAGTGTGGAAACCTGCCAAGGCAGTCCGCTAAGCAGGATGCCCATCACCACTGGCTTTGGGTATCGTCCCCCGGGGCTTTTGTCTGCCCTACAGCTCATCCCCACCCCACCCCAGTTTGTCTCCTTTAAGGAATAGCTGCCAACCTCCAGGTGGGGCCTGGAGCTCTCCTGGCAATGGAGGCCAGTCCCCCTGGAGAAAACGGGTGCTTTGGCGGGGGAGCCTGTGGGCCTGAGCCCCACTGTCCCTAGGCCTCCGGGGGGGCTTCCCCAGCGGGACCTGGCCGCCCTATGGGGGGGGGGGGAGGCCGGGCTCCGCGGTTCCCTCCCCCCCCCAGGAATTCCCTAACCCAGACTAAAAAAGGTAAAGGGAAACGGTTTCCCTTGCTCGGACTCTAGAGTTGCGGTGCTCCTCTCCGTTTCCAAGGCGAAGAGCCAGCGCTGTCCGAAGACGTCCCCGTGGCCACGTGGCCGGCAGGACTCAACGCCGAGGCGCGCGGAACGCGGTTCCCTTCTTCCCACCGAAGCGGTGGCCTATTGATCGACTTGCCGTGTCTTGCTTCCGAACGGCTCGGTTCTGCCTGACCCTACAGGGAAGAGGCGCCCCCTTGGCAAGGAAAGGCACGTGGCCCGCGGGGGGCGAGGAGGAGGAGCCTCCCGAAGGCCCCGCCCACCTGCGCGTCAAGCCGCCGGCCCCCCCCACCAGCGCAGGGGCGGGAGGGGCGGGGCCCGTCG